TAGGCCTTGGAGTGTCTATTCTCTGCCAAAGCTGGTACTGTATACTGTACCTCAGTGATTTCGCCTCCTAATTTCATCATGTCTAAAGAATATAAGAAGAATATCAACCTCTAACAATTTACATGTATAAGCTATGTTATAAGCGACAAAGAGTCCTGTGGCACCTTATAGATTAACAGACGTATACTTGAAGCTATGTCATGTTCCTGTATCATTTTTTGTTCATCCTGCATTGAGAATTGTCTATTTCTACATTTTTAATTTTTTTTCAAAGGTGATCAGAACTAAGCACAGTATTTCATATATGGCCTTATGACTAGTAAGTACCTTTTGTAGTGCTAGAAAGATTGGTTCTGAAATATCCATTACCTTTATTTATGCTTCCCAGATTGGGGAGAGAACCAAGAAATAGATATGAATAAAACAGCAGACTCAGCAGATCTTACCTCAGTATTTTTCCCTTGTTTTCATATGCACTTCTATTTCCATGCAATATTTCATTTTTGTATGCATCTGTCACTGTTTGCTTCTGTCAGAAGTTCAAAGGCCGCCCAATTTCATAAAAGGGAGATAGTATTGACTGATCCATAATATTGTTTCTATCTTTTTTTGTTTTGTTTTGACCAATCCTTGATGCACATCTCCAGTTTTGAAAAGCATTTCATGACTCACTGGGCAGTTTGAAAAATCTATAGCATGAGCTCATTACCATGTTGGCTGTTGAGTGTTTTCCATTGGTAGTGTTTGCAATGCAAAACTGGTTTCACCAGGCTCTTTTTCTCTATGGGGAAAAAATATTAAAAACTAATATATACATACATAATAAAACATATGGGAGGGGATATCAATGTGGTGGATTACATTTATCATGCAGCTTTGACTATCCCGTGCTCATTAATCCACTTCTCCCACCAACTTCCAACACTCAGAACACCTTCATACAGCCATAATGTTTAATCAACTCATCAGAAAAAGATTTTCTTCTTCCCCCTGAAATGTGGAATTCCCAATCATCCCCCAAAATCACACTGGCAATATTCTGTCCTGCACCAGTGACAAACTCTTTAAAACATTATATCTCAAGAGCCTGCAGAACTAGATATAGAACTTTTACACTCTTGGGGTGAAATCCTGCCCTTAATGAAGTGAATGGGAGTTTTACCATTGACTTCAATGGGGCCAGGATTTTATCCCTGTAGAGGGAAAAATCCCAGCTTTCATAGAACCACATAATTTGCTTCTAGCCCTGGAAGTGCTCAAAATATGAAACTTTAAAGAAAACACAATTTTAGGTAATTTTTAAAGGTGTTTTGCATGTTAAGCAAAAAATTTTCTCTTATTCTCAGCACGATATGGGACTTTAAGACTAAGGCACCTGGCTTTAGGGGCATAAAGATATAATTTTTTAAAACTATTGGGACTGGTTTTGTATCTGAATCATTTTTGTGACTCATTTTTCTGTAGAATACATGGCACTTACAGAATGCATGATGGTGTGGTATAAAGGTGTTTTCAGCATTCATTTTGGATGACCTGCAGAACTCACCTAGAGCTTTCCCACTGATGATGTATTCTCTCCCTCTCTCATTCCTTTTCTCTCCTTTGCACATGATGCTAGACAAACAAGAACTTTATTTTCTTACTGCCCCTTAAACTGGGCGCACAGCAAGCAGAATTACTACTTCATCATAACACTCACTCTTTTACAGCAAAAGACCCACACTGGCATCAAAAGAATATCACAGAGCGCCACAAAATAATTAAAGATTTAAGGCTAGGTTCTGGCTTTGATGAGATTGAGGCACATGTGAGCAGCTGGAGCAGCTGTGTGGCAATGGCTTGGAGGCATTCTTCTTACAGAGGGCAGACACAGACAGAATGCCTCCAGGGTATTGTGAGAGGGATGGAGGAGCTGCGTGATCAGAAGTGGCATTTGCTATACCTACACAATGGGAGTAGCAGCTGCCCTTGCCAGTGCTGGCCTCCAGACACTAGACAGTGTGCATACTGGCAATGTCATGGCCTCAGTCCATGAGGCATCCTTTTGGGCACCAGTGGCAATGCTAGCCATTGTCAAACCCCCAACTTGCACTCAGGGTGCATGTGTGAACATTAGCATTTTGGATGTCTCCTACTGGGGTGCTCTTGGGGGGGGGGAAGGAAAAGAGGTTCTCCCTCGACAGCACCCACCCCAGGGCAGCCATAATGTGGCATTTGCTGTGTAACAAATGTATAGGCAATAGTTAATGCACTCATCTAAAAAGCTAAGTAAAGGTTACAATACGAGCAGAGTTTCTTTAGCTATCAGTGAGAGATCTCTGGCATTTCCAAGACTGTTATTGGTTTTTAGAAGTTTGCTTGTCTGAATCACTGCTACCTACACGTGTTTCTCAGTCTGTCTGTTTTCATGTGCCATTTTCCTTTTCTGCCTTGCCTGTAACCACTACATGCAGGTCAGGACATCATGCAACTTCTAACTCAGCCCACAGATAATACCAAGGTTTAAAGTAAAGAGGGTGTGTGTGGTGGGGGGTGAGGGAAGCTCCCCTTCCTCTCCCAGGCCTGACTGAGTAGCATTTACCCTCCCTCTTTTTGTAGTGTGGGGAGAGCACCCTCTTCTGTTTCAATCTACATTAACCCCTTGATCTCATAGTGATGGGGGTCATATAAGTACAGAAATAGAAACTCATAGAAAGAGACACGTGCAGGGTGATGACAAGTGGTATGTATGACACTGGTCTAGCACTTCAGACTGAGCATTACTGACCTAGACCATGGTGAAACATGCCCTCTGAAAGCAGTAAACAAAATTGTTGATTGATAAAACACAGTTCCTGTAATGCTTGGTGTAAACAGGGGACTGTGGCAGAATTCAGAATAATCAGAAATCCATTTCAGTATCCCTTTCATTTAAAAAAGAAATTATGACCAGATGATTCACTTGATATTGAATCAGGCGAGTCAGATGAACTTTAAAATGTTTTATTCCAAGTTGATTAAGTGTTTATGAACTCAGCCCATATTCTTCTACTTCTTGCAAGCCTAATTATTAAATTTAATGTGTATGTGCATATAACTATATATCTATGCATTTATGTAGACACAAATACATGCTCTTAAATATAAAAACCCACAAAGCTAAAATAATTAATTTATGGAAACTTAAAATTAAATTAAGTGTCTGGGCAGTTTTCCAGTTGATTTATAATTTTCCCTGGACAAACCATGCTTACACATAAAAACTACGGCAGAATTTACTTTACACTACACTATTTGTGTTGCTGCTCATTTGACTGCCAAGATTAGTGTTTATGACCAGGATGGCAATCTAATTAAATATCTAAGAATCAGAAAACTGGACAATATTCAAGGCCAACTCAGCATTAAATTAGAAAATTTAGCCTGGCTACTCTATCAATATATTCAGCTACCAGCCCAGCTACTATCCCAAACTATAAGTTTAATGAATTTGGTCAGCATACTGTGTCACAGATGTCTAACATACAGCTATCAACCGAAATCATCATAAATAAGATGCTTCAGTTAGGCATGGCAAAATATATTAGGGGAGCTTTGTCAGTTACCAGCAACCTGCTTGCTGATGGTTGAGAAACAGCACTGTAAAATGCATGAGCTGCCTTTTGTAGTTTTTTGCAGGAAGCCTTGGAGAGCCGCAGATAATTTGCTTTCAATGATTCATCAAGTTGGCCCTTTGTTTCACTAATTTGAGTGTCAAGTGCAACCACATAATAAAGAATTACCAAGACCTGATAAGATTATTCTTATACTGCTGCTCCTGTCTTAACAACTGGTACTATTCTAACCTAAACCACAAATGGAATAAATAGCAAGTATACTTGCAATGCCAGCAATCTTCTTTGAAATGACAAAGCATGTTTACTGCCATCTCCACTGATGTAGCATACATTTTTGTTTCTGCTAATAATTTCTACTTTCTTAAAAAGAATTAAATGCTGAATGCTGTGCCATAACTAGAGATGACATTTGTTCCACTGTTAGTCTACCAATGAATTAGTAAAGATGAAAAATGGATTTCAGTGACAATTCCAGCCTTGAGAAAGATATTATTGTGAACATGGTTGAGTTAGCCTGATGAGCATTTTCTCCTTAATGTAGACTTTAATGTTATATTGCTATAGGTTAGATGTGAAATCATATATTAGAACTATTATTTTTGATGAATAATTTCAAGAGAAATATGTTCATAATTAAGATATAATTTTTTCAAAATGCTATACTGTCATTTTAATAACTTCATAAGAAACCAACCTGAAAATGGGTTGTTTTGAAGGGGCGCATAGATAAATATGGAATTCCTAGAGCAAGAAATTCATGTAATTTAAGTTGCGTTATTAAAGTTTTCACAATTGAACTATGCATCATTAATATGGCAAAATCAAAGAAGGAAACAGTAAAAGACACCAGAGGACTGCTTATAAAATGAGAATAGAACGACTTTTATTTCCAGCAACCAGAAAGATGGCATTAGGAGCAAGAGAACAAAAACTACAACTCCACTTACTAGTGAGAACAGCGTGTGTTTAAATTTTTTAAAACTTATTATGAAGGGTTGTTAGGCAATAAGGAAGCAGGAGACTCTAAAAGTTTAGTTAATACTATACTAGAAATAGAGGGTGTTAAAATATTTGCAAAGAGAAAATGAAAATTATTTAGATGAAAAATTGTTGCCTCAAAACCACAAGGCTCAGAAAACCCAGTTAATGCTTAGAGAGTGTTGAATCTTCCTCTAGGCAAAATGGAAATAAGGTAAATTGAAGATTGTGTCTTGGTGTTAAAAGCAGGATTTAAAAAAAGGCAAAGCTAGCCTCAGCCTGCAGGGATATAATGCTGTTGTATTTTGAAAGCGTTTCATTTATGTTGATCAGAATCCCACCCACTGATTAAATATGACATTGTGCAGAAGACTGTAGAATTGTAGAGTGTGTTTCTATCCCTCTCTGCTGTTCTGATTCAGAAGAGGGGAAAGTGGCTGCTGTGGGTGCTGAGATGAGGTTTCTTTCCGAGGAATAATACGACCTAACTTATGTCTTCCTTTAACTTCTACTTATCCTGAAATTGCCTGTGTTGGAGACGAGGAAGGATCCGGAGTAGTTTAGGACCCAGCAGACAGTGGCAGGTGGCAGTTGTGTAGATCACTGAGAGACTAAGAGGGTCCAGTCCAGTTTTAATTCTGTCTCTAATCTCTGCCACAGCAGTGCTTTCCCCAACAGCCCCAGCTCGGGTGTCTCTCTCTCTCTCTCTCTCTCTCCAGCCTGATCCACAGCAAAAACATGTCACTGGCTTCCTCACAATGGAAACCCTAGAGGGAAAAGTGGCCCCAGATGCGCAAGCCTGAGGATTCGGTACAAAGAGGTGCACAACATGAAGACCCTGATGGTAAGTCAATTGTTGGACCTAATTATCCCAGGTCACCCGGGGACCAAACGAAAGCAGCCCGGGTGGGGAAGAGGACGAGGGTAGTGGAGCGGGGCTGGCCAGGGCATCAGACATATGCTCCAGCCTTTCCAGGGCTGGTATCTTCTCTTTTGTTATATTTTACTAAAGGGAACAAAACGGGGGCGGAGGAGAACTTTCCACCTGCTTTTCTTTTATTCGTGGGCAGGGTTATTGTTCGGAGCGTGTAGAAAACAGATCGGCTTAAAGGATGAGTCTGGCTGTAACTTGGCTAGTGCAACAATTCCTAACAGTCATTAAAATGCACGGATGGAATGGCTAAAGGGGAATGACTGCATGGGGAAGAGCGGAGGGAGAAGGGGAAGCCTGGGAAAGGGAAGGAAGGAGAGGGGGACAGGGAAAGAGGGGAGGGGCAGAGGCGGAAGGAAAAGAAGAAGAAAGGGGTGAGAGATGAAGGGGTGGAGAAGAGAGGGAGGTGGCGGGGGGAGGTGGGGGGATTATTGGAGTTCGCTAGCCTCACTTTTGCCTGGTCTTAATTGGTGTCAAACTTGCAGGAGCTGCAAAGGGAAAGGCGCGGCGATTGCTGCCAAAATAGACACCTAACCCGAGCAGCTGCGCCCGCCAAGACATTGCCCCGAAAGTGAAACGAACTGGGAGCCCCACCTTCGCCGCTGCCCCCGGCGAGGTGTAGCCACCTGTAATGTGATGACAGGAAGAGGGGGGGCAAATAGGTCGCGCTGCGTGGGGGAGGGGGTGTGCAGAGCAGGAGACCCAGACTTCAGCCGGTCTCCCCCGCTCAGGATTTGAACCATCCCCCTCCGCTCGCCTCCCTCCAGGATGTCCAGTCTTCTCCCACCCTGGGGGGAACTGCGCCCTCCCCCGTTAGGCTCAGCCCCATCCCTCTGTCCGTGGGTCTGTGCCCCTGCCCCTGGCTGTTCGCAGGGGGGCTCAGTGTCTCTTTGTCCCCTTTGCAGCGCCATGGGCTGGCGGTGTGTTTAGTGCTCACCACCATGTGCACCAGCTTGTTGCTCATGTACAGCAGCATCGGCGGCGGGGGCCCGAAAGAGCCGAGCCAGCAGCAGCAGCAGGTGGCGGTGGCGGCCAGTGGGAAGCCGGAGACCGAGCAGTTGGGCAGCAGCCAGCAGCGCCAGAGGCTCCCTGTGGGGGCTGGGCTCCTAGAGGGCTACATCAGTGTCCTGGACCACAAGGTGAGGCGACGGGACCCCGGCCAAGGCACGAGGGCAGGGGGGATGGAGCACCCCAGGCAGGTGCAATGATCTATGGGTGCCTCCCACATGGTTCCTCCCAGCTCAGGGCCTGTTCTCAGAGACCCGGCAGAAGCTTTGGCAGGTCCTGAATGATTGGCTCAGACATGTAATTTGGCACCATTCCCCTTGGAGAGGGATGGGGCTGGGGCCGTGGTACTCCTTGTCCATGGGGTAGCTGTGACTCTAGTACCCTTTGCTTCATGGGAGGCAGGGCTGTGACTCCTGGTGGCAGGAATGTCATTGTTTTCTGCTTGTTCTGTGTGTATGTGGGGGGTGGGCAATGACTGGTACCCTTAGCCATTTATTTGTGATGCTTGTCACCCTATTCTACTCTTCTCTGCTCACGTTTGTATTCTGCACTCATTACTGTAGTAGCCGAACACCTTCCAATAGTGCAGAAAGCAGTGTGGCTGCACATCTGTTATGTGTTTGTTCTTTCCTCTCCCCGACCACTGTTTTATTTTGGATTTTTAAAAAATAATATACATACCCCCTGCTATATGTTTATGTTAGAGATGGCAAGGTCAAAGAACTGGGCCTTGACTTAGAGTGGAAGGTGGTGTGGCTTGCAATGGTCCTTAGTTCTTGTAAGAGTTCATGCCACAGCCTTGGACTGGCCCCCAAGAAAGCATAGATGAGCTTCACCTTTATTGTAGAAAGGTCCATTGTGCCAGAGGAGTGAAGTTGTCGACCACGGTCTTCATCTTGCAGGCATGCTGACTGTGGTGCATCTCTCTGATTATGTACATTGCTGCCCTTTGATCTCAGGTGAACAAACACTGGTGCTCTTCAGCCATTCTGGGTAAACTGTGGTATCCCTTCCCTCAAGTTCCGCCGACTGTGGTGCTCAAAACCCCAGAGTGGGCTGACTGGTAACACTTGCACCTGGGATCTCAGACTTCTGTATCCTTTGCCTAAGGATGGACAGATTCTGGTATCCATCACCGGTGCTGTGCAATCTTGGCTGTCCCTCACGCAAGACATACCTTAGTGCCCGTTGTTTGGTGTGGGTGGATCCTGGAGTCCTTCACAAGTGCAGGGCAGGGAGGTGGATGGACTCTAATGGAATCAGGGCTCTCTTATATGGTATCTAGATTCTGGAGAAGAAATATACAAAAGAAATATATTGGCACATATAAAGGTTGTATTTTGTGGTTGTAGTGGCATTTCCCTTCAGGGATAAAATTTAACAATTATTCACAGTACTAAAATGTCACAGGCTACAGTATGTATGGCTACTGGCAGTAGTGGGCCAGTACTAGTTTACTACCGAAGTAAATCACCTTATGCTTGAGGAGAATATTTGCCAGAAAATCAAGGCATTGGGCCTTGTTGATCAAAGTATCACGTAGGGAATGTCTACACTGCAGTCGAAGGTGTGATTGCAGCTTAGGTAGGCATACCTGCACTAGCTTCAAGCTAGCTAACGCAGCTACAAATAGCAGTAAAGATGTGGTGGTAGAAGCATCAGCATGAAATGTAGGAGCCTGCCTGGAACCCTGGGTATGTACTCATATTGCTTGCCTGTATTGAAACCCCTGCCACCATCTCTGCATTGGTCTTGTTAACTGTGCTAGCTAGGTTAAAGTTAGTCAGGTATGCCTATCTGAGCTTCAGTCACACCTCCAATCAGGGGCGGCTCCAGGCACCAGAGCACCAAGCGCGTGTCTGGGGCACCAAGCCGTGGGGGGCGGCCTGCCGGTCGCCATGAGGGCGGCAATGAGGCAGCCTTTGGTGGCATGCCTGCGGGAGGTCCGCTGGTCCCGCGGCTTCGGCGGCAATTCGGCGGCAGGTACGCTAAAGGCGTGGGACCGGTGGACCTCCCGCAGGCATGCTGCCGAAGGCTGCCTCACTGCCATGCTTGGGGCGGCAAAATACATAGAGCTGCCCCTGCCTCCAATTGCAGCATAAACATACCGTACATTTCAATTATCACCTACTATGCTCAGATTACCTACTACATTCTTCTTTCATTTCATATACAGTCAGAATAGTAGTTCCAGGTCCACTCAGACATGATGGCCACACAGCTTCTGAGAATATGGCTAACATATCTAATTTCCTAGTCACTGTTGAAGAATGCTTTGCATGAGCCTCTCAGCACCTAGTGAGATTTGAAACTTCTTTCTTACTAGTCTTTGTTTTCATGCATTTTACCTTTATTCTGCATCACAGCCAATGTTCTTAGCTTCAGCAGCCTTTTGCACTTTAGAAGCTGTATAATATTTTTTGTTGAACTGAGCTCTTAAAAATAGTGAAAAAGGCTGGATGGATCTGGATCTGGTTCTCAGCATTTCACCTTTAGCATCTCAGGCCAACAGTGGTTGAAAATCATTGCCACCTGATGACTGAAATGAGTGGGACATCTCCCTTTAGTTCCTAGTAGCCAGGTGTTTACATTATAAAACTATCAGGAGTGGCACAAAATCACTGTTTGTTGATAGCTGCTGCTGAGAGGTCAAAGACTGAGGCAAATAGCAACCACCTTGCTACTCCTAGAAGCTCTTACTTCACAGCAAGACTGCGGCACATTGGCAGGCCAGCCTGGAGAAGCTTTCACTGCTTCTGTCTGTGCTGTACTTGTTCCATGACTAAAGAGAGGACACTGGTCTCACAGACTAACAAAGCAGCACCTTTCATGACTTCTGTAATCGACAGGAATTTTCATATTGATTTCCATAGAAGCAGGCTCTCTACCTGCCTAGTCATCAGATAGGGGATGTAACTTTTTGTTAGTTTATCAAAATGATGATCACAATGTTAGCAATAAATGGCAGTGCTAATGTTTTATGAACAATTACTGCATGTGAGTAGGACAGAATTTATGAAAACAGAAAGGCTAGCAGTATTCTAAATCTTGCAAGAAATAAGTATTTAACCATCTGATTATTCTGAAGTGAACATGAGAACATGACTCTGGATAGTTAAAAAGCTTTTTATCCAGTATTGACTCATCTGTGGTTACTATCAATAACACGTGAGAGTCCTGCCACAGATGTAATTGGAAAAAATTTCAGACCACCAAAGATTTTGCATTCCCCCTCTCCCCCAAAAAAGTACCATAACAAGACCAACCTTGCAAACAAAATGTATGAGCTCTTAGGCCTTTGTTGAAGCACTCAGAGAACTTGATGACCAACCCACTAATTTACATGGATCACAATGATATTTATATATATAATTAAACAGATCAGAGAGTAGTACAGTTAATCAAGTGTTTGAAGAACAGTCATTCTGCAAATAGTCTTATAGCTCCATAATCTCTCAGACTTTAGTGCTGGTACTTTACTCCTACATGGAAAAAAATTATTTTGCTTTCTTCTTTACTCAGTCCACCTAAACAGGCAACAACTTTGACATGTTTGGGGTGAATGGATCATCGCGTCATGACATTAACCATTCTTATCTGGAAAACTATGGGGATAAGGAAAATGAGTCTGAGGGTTCAGTCTATTCCATTTTGTTATATCACAGAATCATACAGCATTTTGTAACAGAGTAGTTAGTTGCTCCTGAGGAGATCAAGGAGAGTTGCTCCTGGTGAGAGGGGGATCAAACATTGAAGTTGAGCTGTAGTAGAGACTTTCGAGGCATGTTACTAGCAACATGAATGAAGTCCTCTCCCCGTACAAGTTCCACTGAGGAATGGAGGCTTTATTATGCAATAAGCATCTTGATGGCGCCATTATGATGTAACAGATCCACCAGGGGGAGACTTTATTCTGGAATAACCTTGTCAGGGGAGAGTTTGTCGTGACGTAAATCTCAGCAGTATGTATTTATGTATGAGAGAGGGGTTCTGGCTTCTTTTCATAGCACTGCCTCTGTGTTTTGAGATAGTGGAATTAGTCTATACATATAGCACATATAGTTATTAAACACTAATACAGTTAATAGATTTAAAAAATGGAAAAAGTCTTTAATGTTTCCATCAAATTTTGAGGGAGAAGAAAGAGTACAATCAGATACAGTGTTTTAGTTTAACAAGACTTGGAAAAGATTTAATTGGGTGAAAAAATATATACACATATTAGAGAAATGTGTTTTACCAGGCTTACATTTGGAGCTGTTTGAAAGTGTTATAATTAATTGGATGCTGACTATCTTGTGTTTATATTTTGTTGCTTTTGTGCCACCAGCAGTGATCTCTATTTTTCTCATCTTAGCAAATCATAATACTGGTTCATTGCATTTTGATTATCCTTGTTTAAAGTTTTTAGCAGCTTCTGTGTGCAGTAAGTGATAACATTCAATTTGCATTACAGAGCATGCAACAGAGATAGAAAATGGTACCTTTTGCTGTATTCCAGATTGCAGGCACCTTTGCACACAGCCAGCAGTTCTGGCTTGGCACTGTTACCATCTGTAATCTCTCAAAGTACTGTACACATTACTGTTGCTGATTATGTATCAGACAGCTCAGCATGTTATGCATTTACGGTTTTGACTTAAAAATACAGGGTCAGATTTGTGTTGTCCTTAATTGAGCAAACTTTCCATTGACTTTATTGGTAGTTTTGCTTGAATGTGTGGACAGCAGAATTTGGCAATAGAAAGTAAAAGATTGAGAGGGGAATGCAGCGCAGCTTGCTGTGTGAAGTACAAGTCGTCATAAAATAAGAGTTATCTAAGGTGGAATCTGGCTGATGGAGATACTGACTATGGATATGCGGTATAATTACACAGGCCAGGAATTTAGTTAATTGATAAAATACGTTAGCAGAACATTTTTATCAAAGCAGAAACACATTTAAAGAAATGTAGCTACCTGATAAGCCTGAGTATCTAGTGTAGCTGAAGAAACTTGGTCTCTGGTCTCTTATTTCATTATGCACCTAAGGTATGAAGTTGTTATACATAAACTCACACCATGCAATGTGTAAAACGGGTGGGCAAACTTTTTGGCCCGAGGGCCACATCTGGTTGGGGAAATTGTATGA